AGCAACCCGTACAGAAGTTGTATAACTAGTATTTAAAGAGTACAGTCGAAGTACAGAAGTTGTATAACTAGTATTACAGAGTACAGTCCCCCGTACAGAAGTTGTATAACTAGTATTAAAGCGTACAGTCCCCCGTACAGAAGTTGTATAACTAGTATTACAGAGTACAGTCCCCCGTACAGAAGTTGTATAACTAGTATTACAGAATACAGTCACCCGTACAGAAGTTGTATAACTAGTATTAAAGAGTACAGTCCCCCGTACAGAAGTTGTATAACTAGTATTACAGAGTACAGTCCCCCGTACAGAAGTTGTATAACTAGTATTAAAGAGTACAGTCCCCCGTACAGGAGTTGTATAACTAGTATTACAGAGTACAGTCCCCCGTACAGAAGTTGTATAACTAGTATTACAGAGTACAGTCACCGTACAGAAGTTGTATAACTAGTATTAAAGCGTACAGTCCCCCGTACAGAAGTTGTATAACTAGTATTACAGAGTACAGTCCCCCGTACAGAAGTTGTATAACTAGTATTACAGAATTTGTATAACTAGTATTACAGAGTACAGTCCCCCGTACAGAAGTTGTATAACTAGTATTAAAGCGTACAGTCCCCCGTACAGAAGTTGTATAACTAGTACTACAGAGTTCAGACACCCGTACAGGAGTTGTATAACTAGTATTACAGAATACAGTCACCCGTACAGAAGTTGTATAACTAGTACTACAGAGTTCAGTCCCCCGTACAGGAGTTGTATAACTAGTATTACAGAGTACAGTCCCCCGTACAGAAGTTGTATAACTAGTATTAAAGCGTACAGTCCCCCGTACAGAAATTGTATAACTGGTATTACAGAGTACAGTCCCCCGTACAGAAATGGTATAACTGGTAAGATTAAATCGGCGAAATATAACGGACTTGCTTTAAATTACATTCGACGTACTGTAGCATAAGACATTTTGTTGGCTGTGTTTTGAGGACAAAATATTTGGGTGATGATGAATACGGCTTTGGGATGTTTCATTTATCAAGTAATTTACGAGCTGCTTGTATTCACAAATTAAAGCTCGTTTTTACGAGACTTGTGAAGAGAATCTAACGCCATCTTATTCAGTTGAACTCTTCGGCTACAGGCGTTTGCCACCTATAGATTTTCCAGAACAACTTAAACTGGAGAACTGCCAGTGTTGCTTCTCCAGAAAATTCAATAGCAACAATAGTTGAAATAAAAATATTTGTGTAATGTACACCAGTTATAATATTCACAAGAAATCTATTATCTGACACCGATGATAGATCAGTTGTTGAAATCAGTAGCAACTCGCAAGAAAATCAAGACGGTAGATGCGTATTTTCACTTACTTATCACCGTAAACGCTCCTAGTAAGTTTTTATTATCAATAAATTGAGTTTCCCCTGGTGTCAAAATTTTTGTCTACGCCGTCATCTATTCTTGAAAACTACATCTCCATGCTTGAAAACACGTCTGCGCCCTGATCCTTTTAAACTTTTTTGGCAATTTGACCTTGACCCTGAATGATGTATCGGACGGGGAACATTGACATTTAGCATGCAGTGCTATAAACGTTTGATACTGTTCTGTTTAGAAGGACACGTGCGCCTTACCAACAGCTGAAACAACGTGTTAATGCATCATGTTTGGGGGAGATATCATTTTTTGTAGAAGATAAAACACGAAAGATAGTACTTATGCAACAGGTTGTTGTTTTATAAACAGAAATTTACAATTTTATTTCTTTCGAAATTTTGCTGACGAATTACGTAGACACGCATGGAAGCACCCATGGTGTAAATACGGTTGCCAGGTGACGCAGGTACTGTCAACTTGATTGTAATTAGATGAATGCGGTGAAAATGGGACAATCGATGACGTTGATATTAAGTAGAAATAGTTAACCATTTAAGGTAAAAATATCATACACGTGGAAATTTTTTGTATAGCAGTGCATTAGCACATAGCTTAAAGTTACAATTTACAAATGAAGACCAACAAGCACCAGCTATCTATGTGTAACAGGAAAGCATTGGCATCTTACATCATACCTCTGTTGGCGAGATAAACATCAGTACAGGCGTGAGGGTAGTGGAGATAAACTAACCCATCAACAGTTTCTAATTGCAAATTGGCAATATATTAAACATTGCGTACTGATGCAGACGGTTAAACCGACATACACACCACTGAACTTATATGCTTCACATGGCGATTTACAAATTTCAATCACAGGTGTCCCCATCCCTTATGTATCCAGGGGAGGGGGCGCTACGCCTCCATTACTCCGTGACGTCCACTGGGGGATAAAACACTACTACCAGCCGTGAATGTAAAACCATATGTCTGATCTCGTAAGTGAGACTTCCGGAAACTCAATTACAGGATATAATGTTCAGATGAACACGTGGTGTAGGTATGGAACATATCTCTTTAGATATTAAGACTGAAACAAATTGTGCAGCATATTGTCTACATTAGCTTGTTATCTCTGCCACGTTATATTGCAGATTTGCAATACCTCTAGTTTTGTAAAACACTGTTACTTCCTAAACATGAAAAATGAAAAAAAAAATCTTCATTGATTGTTCCTACACTTCATAAACCTGCCTGGAGACTTAATTAAATGTCATAACCCAGTCTAGTATACTATAGCAAAGGTAGATTTATGTTAAACCGCATCTTTCAGGAAGATAAAATCAATAAGATCATAGGCTTTAAATGAAGTTTTTAGATATTTACATACCGATATGAACACCGTACGGTTTCTGCACCCAGTAGCCGACCGTTCAACAATAGAATCGTGGGTACCGTGAAATACACTGTCTGGCTGCGTATCAAAGCGATGGAAAATTGAATCATGACGATGGCTGGGTTACCAGTTAATACCCTGCTAATGATACCATAAACTAAAGAGATATCAAAGGAAGAGTTACGACATATGACGAAAATCTTCAATTCTTAGTTTTATGAAAATTTAGTATTGGAAAGAATATAATTAGTGGTAAATGAAAAGAGAGAGTGTGCACTCCGTGCCTCTTCTCTTGATGGGAAGTGCGTGTGGCATCTGGGACCGGAAATACTGCAAGTATGGTAAATTGAAACAAGAAATTGGATCAGGCAGTATTGTCTTCAAAGATCCGGAAAGTGATAAAAGTTGCGTTACATATTAGTATTAAGAACAGATTTTTATTCATCAACGTGTATAAACAAAAGAATTGATAACGCAGGCAGATACTAAGTTGATTATATTCATTCAGAAGTGAAATTTGTATTTATCTAATTTGGTCTGAGAATTTTCATTATCAGTACAAATTATTTTTATAAAGTAATACCAACTGATGCATGTTTGATAACACGTTTTGTTAGTAGGTCCCATGCTCTGACGTTTTACTCGGTAACAAGCTATATATCTGGCGGATGGAGGGACACCACTAATCTTGTCAAGTGGAGTGTAGTCTCACACTGCTGTCAGCACTGGATTACAAGGTTCAGACATAGTGTCACAATTTTAATTAAGTAACACTGTTAATTTATCAATGTGTTTGTTCTCTGTTATATAGATTTCAAGCGAGATAACAAGGATCGATTATGAAATCTAGTTAATTATGCTGGCCTTCCTTTCTGGATTCAGTTAAATTACATGATTAAATGAAAGCGTGGCTTGCTCAGTAGAGAGATAATAACCGGGGAAAAATAAGACCGTGATAATATTATTCAGACAATAAGTGTACTATCTTTTTAAGTACTCCATTCCAATATCCCGTTGCCAACACAATGACCTAAAGCTTCCTACTTTTACATGTAATTGACGACACATTCACTAGACGTCCCGCACTCCAAAAACTGTTACGTTATTGCAATTACTTTCCTCAAAATGTATTTGAGCTTTATTTCATGCTTTGAGTCATTCATTCCAAGTTGTTCTGCTTGATTTCAGATCAACATCTACAAACGCTCTTTGTAATTGTATCAGGTTCCTTGTCAATACATGACACTACAGAATCTACCTGAAAATGAATGTCAAGGGATTCAGAACTGTTGATTTGATGGCAGACCCAACATCTCGCTGGAATGGCCACCACTTTGTGCTTAGCTCGGATGTGTTTTACATACACTTGTGTTGACTGTAGGCGATCGATACGTACGTATATATAGGATCTTGGGTCACGGATGTCGTAATACAGCTCTATGACGAGACATACTGAGTAGCTTTGTTACAATATCATTCGCCACTTCCCATCTATCTACTGTGCAAGATTGATCTCGTAAGAATGCCCTATTAATATTTTCTGTCAAAAATTTCTTTTCTTGTGATAATGATACGTATTATATAAGTAACAAATGGAATAAAAACAAATTTCATGTTTTTCGTTAAGCAGACTAAAAACCTAGGTCAATTTTAAGTCCGTTATAAATACCAGGACTGTTTCCGGAATGTTCTGTCTGTTAGAACAGCACGTTAGGAAAGAGAGCACTTTAGACTAAAACCTCTCAGATACATTAAGTACGGACATTTTAGAATGAAAAGAGCACAAAGTACTATTCATGAAATATTGATATATATTCTGAGCAGCAAACATGGAAATTGATTTCCTTGTATGGTAAAATCACAACGACTACATCGATATATACTCGTATCAAAATCACGCCGAGTATAATAATGAAAGGGGTACGTTCGTCTGTTTAAAATTATGAAATAGTTGTAGATTTGGTGGCGCGCAATTCTAATGACCACGTAATGTCGAGTATAATTTTATTAATATATTTATTTCCAGACAATTAAAAAAAATACCGACTATCTCTAAGAAATAGACAGAAGCACAAAAATTTCTTTATCTATTTCATTTTTCATAGAACGAAAAATTCAATCACGTGCACTGACAACCATATTTTATATACAGAACATGCGTAGACGATTGAAAGCAAATACAGATAGACAAAAAGGATAAGTTTATTTCAAAATGAATATTCAGGTTACTTACCGTATATTGTTAATCCCAAGAGAAGCACCAAGATATGCGCGATGTTATCGTACCTAAATGGTCCCATGCCTTTTCACAGTACAAGAGTTTGTCTGGCGAAAAGCACCCTACAACACACATTCTTCTAGGAAATGGTGACCAGCTCGGTGACCGCTGACGACTGGACTCCGGTATCTGGAGCGCGATGTTGTCACGGCCCCTGCACGAGGGACGATCATCACACCGGAAGAGATCCTCAAGAAAAATAAACAAATTAACACCACAGGTAAAATCGTACAGGTGAATAATATTACAATATTTAAAAATCCCACTCCAAATGGTAATTTGTTGACCCGGACGTGATTAGCACAATTTGAGTAACGTTGTAGCACGTGCCGGTAGAGATGGTCGGACAGGTGTATGGGGGAGGTCTCCCCAGCAGGTATGTTTCCGCGCGGTCCCTGTCAAAGCCCCACGTTGATGGGCAGGAGAGGGATTATATAAGTTTTATGACACAGTGGAGATATGCACTGTTTTCCCGGTCGCTCACTTATCTTACTGTCGCTAAATTCCGATGCCTTACCGAAGCACTAAATGAAATATTTATTTACCATTGAACGGTAATAAACGGACGACAAAGAAAAGCTCCCAGTGAAGAAAAATCCGAGAACAATTCAATCCAACACTTCAACTATTACAAAGTGTTCCGAAGCCATATATGATAACCATAGATCTGCAATGATTCCTGTCGGGTGAGCCAGCGTCTTCATTCATAAAGTGGCGGAATGCATGAGTCGCGAGCTACCTGTGTATTGTAAGAATGGATTTTTTGTTCAGCATCTGCAGTAACCGTGTGTATTGGACACAGCAAAACCATCGGGGCATGTACCCAACACAATACCGACAAAATTGTATTCATCTAGATCCTTCAGAATCACTTGGACTACTTGTCCGATGACGATACGATAGTGTATAGATTCCAATTGAAGTGTGAAGCGCGAGACGCTGATAACAATAAGATGTATCCCCTGTCGCACGAGCAGACGACCGGCTGTCAGTGAGCAGGAGGGATGCAGCTACGATCGCGTGCATCCCATAGCATCACGCGCTCTCTGTTGGTGTGATCAGCGGAGTCGTCTGCTTGCCATACTGTGGCTGATTCAATAGACACCGAGGCAGATCACCCGCATCAAGACGATGTTCCGATGTTCCTCAATGATGAGGTCTAGCCAGTCTACACCAGTCTCGGCTTCACAACTACACACCGAGACTCCTACATACACACTATACAGTTGCGTGTGCTGTTTGGAATCATAGAGATTATAGTTTCAAACTAGATCTGTTTTCACTGAAACCCGACGAGGTCAAACCCATTGTATATGTAGCGATTACGTGACCATCTTAGAAATGTCGGCCTTTTTGCTGGCAGTTCATTGCACGAAACATTATCAACTTGCATTTATGAATGAAAATTCATACTTAATCTATACCAGTAATTCTAACATTGTAATTGAGTTGGTGATAATTAATCCTAAAACACGTACTACTCCAGTTTGTTATTAGACAAACAGTATTAAAGTTTTCTGTGTAGTACATACTAGTATTATATTAACACGAATATATGAATGGCTACTATCCATCTGTTATCATGATAATTCGTATTTATGATTGCGTGGGCCCATCTTTAACTGATTAAAGTGACGGAGATTTTAGGTGTATCACATTGGCTGAGATGTGAATGAAGATTCACTGCATGTGTATGTGATTATAATTAAGTTTTTTTTGTGGAGGCGATGAGGTACATTTTTATTAATTAGCATACTGTACACTTTATGTATCACCGTGTCTTACTTTCCACGTTCCCTTTCTTTTCCCGACGCGTTTGTGTATCATCTACCCCTGTAAATTGCGGAATGAATTTTAAAAGTAAAGGGGTCTCGTTTTCAAACGCTGTCACAGTTCATAGAACGCACATTGGGCTATACCGGACCTCCCCTCACTACCTGGCACGTGCTCACGCGCGGTATAATGGAATAAGCGAACCCTGATGAACCCTTTCAACCTAAATGATACTGCAGAACCCCTGAACCCCATCGCCGTACATACCACACTTCTTAGTGTTTCTGGCTTTCAACAATGTACGTTTCCTGCATTCAATGCTGTTTAAGATAGAAGATAACGAGCACACACAATTTAATTGAATGTTTACGAAAGCTGAAACATCATTTCCTCAAAATATGGCTTCATTAAGTGATCTAGTTTTCATCACATTATAATGAGAACAGACGTAAAAAATGGCATTTTCTTTTTTTCTTGTGAATTAGATAAACATGCCAAAAAAAGTCAATAAAATTTAATTTGTTCAAGCATGTGTTTTAAATATTAATCATTTTTGTTGAAAGGTATAGGTGCGGTAACTCATATTCCTTGCATTAAAATGATCATATTGGCAGCTCCCGTCATCATTATTTCTTATACAGAAATACTTGATTGTCTAGGGACCCCTCCCCCCATCCCTATCCAATTCCCAACCCGTCGACCAGAGGTAAGGCACTAATCATTCAAGAGGGATGAGTCTGACGATAGGAATTACCAGGGTTTCCGTGCCACAGGTACAATGTACTAGGTGAACGAGGCCAATTTGCGAAGGGTAAGGATAAGGAAAGCTAGAATTAAGTTAAACGAATCGTATCGAAGTTTATGTGATAAATCAGATGATGAGCTTATTGGAAATTAAAAGCTTACAACAAAGTAGTTACATTTCCCAACGGTCACATTAATATCCACAGCAGAAACGGCAAAATAACCTTATATAACACTCTTATATAATACCTTTTAGTACTCCACCGTTACTCCGTAAATGGAGGATAATTATGACAACTTGTAAGAGATTGCAAGTTTGTATGAAAATTGTCTTAATGCTGTACTTTTGATTATCTTATGTAAAACAAAAAGGCAAAAATATGACTAAAAATGAAGTATGAGTGATGTCAGCTTTTGGTTTCGTTTCTTACCAGAAATCCATATTCAGACCTATTCAGATAGATTACATAAGATATTTAATTTGCTTTGGTGTTATGTTGTGTAACCTATTATCAGCTATCGACTTTATAGTGCTGCCACACTGAAATATACTGCCGATGGCACACAGCAGGACACACCGCCCGGTCACTGATGATGCTGAGGATGGGTCATTATACTTCCGACGGTCATCCCGTCCGGTCACATTGATCTGGTCATAGCACTATAGTGTTGAGCGTTGAGCAGGTTCAGGCATGATTCGGCAATGGGACAGAACTCAAAACCACCCACACAAAGGCGAACACTTAACTGTAGCCCAAATGTGAGTGTTAAGGAAAACATTATGAAGAAAATAGTCGCTAAGATGAAGACAAAGTATCATGTCCTGAATTAAGTCGCCACTTGTGGTCTTTTGTGATCAATTATTATGCCTTACCTGCAGGGAAACACAACAGGAGTGAATTTACATATTAAAAACTTGTTTATTTGTTACAAATTTTGCTATAAGACGTGATATGTACCATTTCTGAATATTTATGGCATATAAACAGAGCCGATTTTTAATGTCCTTAAATCCTCATGATTTTAAACATGTTTGATTTATTTTTAAAATCTACAAGTAAATTTGAACGATAAAGAAATACCTTGTTCAAACCATTCTGCCAACCAAATCTTAAACAACCAATGTGAAACATACATTTACCTTCACTACCACCCCAAAATGTACTGAAACATTGGTATAGTATAACGAGGGAAAATTTTACACGGGACTCTTCAGTAGGACACAAGAAAGATTTCCGAAAAAGGCCCCCAACACTGGACGTTTATCTGAATGTCTGCACGTTTGTCAATCAAACGTTGACCTCTATCAAATTGTTGGCGGGCGTATAGATTCTATAGGTCGATTTGCCCTTTTAAAAAGTCAGTTGAGTTGTGGATTAATATTTGGGCCATAATTTGGCAACTATTGTTGATATCAGTCCATCCCTATTGCCAAAAGACACCAACCTGACTACAAATCCCAAACAATCCGCGACCCTTGTTAGTATGTGTGAATCTAAGCTATCTATGAATACCCTGAACATGTCCGCTGCCCTGTCCACTACTAGAACCATTCAGTTGAGCTTGTCGGGAAGTGTGAATGTACCACGAGAAGTGATACGCCGCCCCTCCGTTCATCACTGTCACATAAATCTATAAATAAACTATGCACGGCAGCAGTAACAAATCAAGCGATACCTGTGTATACCTTGTATCGTAAAGTACATACACGGATATTGATACGGTTTGATAAGATATCACAAAATACATTTAGTTTGAGTGATACAATTAATTACATACTTACAACTTCGAAGTGTATAAAAACAGATCCCGTCACGTTCAAAGAATTCTGCGACACACAATCAGATCCTAAATTGTCATCTGATTTCAGTCTTTTTCCGTCTTACTTTAAGGTCGCTACTAATCCGACTGAATTCGAAATCACAGCAAACAATTTCTAATAATAGAAATGATGCCCAGGATTTCGTCATATCCAACAATAGTGAAGTCAGACGTAAAATGTGTTGCTGCGGTGATGAAATTCGATACTTTAAATAGTCGCCATGACAGTGGGTTTGTATACAGAATAAACTCGTGGGGGTTCCCCCTCACATCAACACGTGTATCGCAGACTACTTCCGGTACACAACAGCATTCCAAACTTGTTCGAACATGTACGAGCACACTGTCTACCTATCGCGGTTCTTTAGCAACCACGCCAGAAAATTCTTGAACATATTCACTTTGTGAGTCTGTATCTGAACAGTTTTGCAGATCTGTTGTGCGTTGGTGGAATTACATAAATTACAACATAGCATGCCTCGGGGATCGGCATGTTACTCGCGCGATAAGTTGAGATAATTTTTAAGTTAATTTCTTTTAATCTATTTACGTTATAGACTTCCGGATAAACAATAAAACAACAAGTTCATTTGTCCTATTTGTCACAGGAGAACGTCTGTCAGCATAAATCTAGACTGTTTTAAAATTACACGATTTTTTATTGCAATGATACTAACCGTTCATACGACATATGACTTATATCTTTTTAAACCTAATTTTTAGATGATCATAAAATCATAAACAACGGGGCGCTGACATTTAAAAGTACAAGGCAAAATGAAGCTGATTGACAGTATTTCCTATGTTATTGTACTGTTTTTTCTGTCTGTATAAACAACATTTCTACAAATCGACCAAATGGAATCAGTATCCGGAGGATTGGTTAATCACACAGTGGTAATGTACTCTTACGTATTATGTCAGTAACAATGGCGAACTTCCACCCGGGCTAACAGACGTGATGATTATGAATTAATCAAACATGTTTTGGAAATGCTCCAAAAGAAATTTATGGTTTATGATAAATAATATGAGATGTATCTCGAATGAATTAGTGATTAAGCGCATTTATTTTAAAGAAGATCCTTCTGAGGCAGATAACTCAATTCTCCATGGTAATTGAACATACACAATCTGTGGACTATTTGACTCTATCTTGGTAGTGGGAGTCGTTTGTTGCCCATATTTCATTCTAGTAGTACTTTGTTTTCGTTTTGTAGATGTAAAATTCATTTCGTTGTTGTGACGTACCGTCAGATATTTGACATGAGGAATCTGGGCTAGGTCAGGCAAATTACATAATGGGAGTGTGTAGCAGATGTTCTAAATTGGGGACACTGTGTCCTTATATTCTAGGGTTCAGTCGCCTTGGACCAATACACACAGTACGTAAGTGATCAAACATTGGAATTGCAAAGAAGTACTATTTCGGTAATTTGCGCCCTGCGACAACGCGACGAAAACATAGTGTTGCGTTGTTTCGTTAATTTATGTCGGACGTTTTTTTGCACGTTAATTCTATCGAACTGTTTCATTGTACCTGTCAACGTGAAATGCGAAATGATCAAAATTAGTTACCATGAAATACAAATTACAGTTTTAGTGATTTGAAAGTCTCGTTCATGTCTTAATTTTTGCATACAATGCATATTTCCCTTTTCGCGTTTTTTCTTATCGACAACTATTGAGGCCGCACTATTTCACATTTTATGTCTAAATAAACGTATGCCATACATAGGCAATGTATTATTTAAATAATAATAAGTTTGCTTTCAAATTGATAATTATATTT